AAAGGAGCCCTTAAAATTGTGAGGTTTTATATGATTTTTAGCTAATTGATCTGAAATTTCTATAAAACTTATGCATTCGACCTCTATAAACCCAATCCACATAAATACCAGAGTTGTAGAGTTACAAATAAGAAATTGATATACTATGTACTACTCCATTCCAATGACGTGTTAGGCCTATTTTTTTTCCTTACACATAAAATGAGATGAGTCATTAATGTAATTAATGTAGAATTGATTAAGTATTAACTATTATAAATTAAAAAATATAGAAAATTATTCACGAAGTACGCTATTTAACAGTTTTGTAAACGTGCTCATAAAAAAGGGAATAGCCAAATCGAATAGCCCATTTAGTGAATGTTGTATGCATCACATTCCCTACAGCTTAATTCTTTTTTTAATTTTGATAGTGAGTTTAACAGGCACAGAGGATGCTTATTTGGTCGGTGCAATTGCGCCGAAATGCTGATGGCCGGCGTCATCCATGCATGTTTCGACAAATACGAGACTGACCACTCTGACTCGGTAATTACTTTTCTTTCATTGGAAGTAAGTACAGCAGAATGGATCGAGTCAAAATGTTTTTTTTTATGGCTGAGATAGCACCAATCTTACTTTTTTTTATAGACTAGATGAACATATTCCTGTCGGATTTGCCATACTTTTTTTGTCTTCATTTTTTTTCTTCTTTTGAAATGGTCTGCTAGCTAGCTGTCCGTGAGAATCTTTGTTGGGAGTAGAAAAAACTCAAAAGCATGCCTTTTTTACTTGGACTTGCTGTGCTGTATGGTCATATATATATTTCCTCTTGTCCAATTAAAAGTATGTAGGGGGAGAACATCTCAATCGTGTTGTTGAAAATTGAAACCAATTTGCCTTCAATCTGGTTAAAGGATGTGGATTAAATAAGACACATGATTTGGCCTCTTAGCACTGATCTCCTTTCTTTTTCACTCTTCTTCCCGGCATTATTGGAGATGTTTAATCACGAAAGCTAGCATGGAATATTAAACACGTCTCTCCATTCTCAGATTTGGTTACATGATCATGTAAAGAAAAGAATTAAGCCAACAGCTCACAGAACAATTAATCATCGTGTTAATTATGTGTCTTAATTATCGTCCAATTTGTTATCTAGATTCTGTTGAAATTAAGGCGTTATTTTTATGTGTAATGTAGAGCTTTTACGTCCCATCATTCCAATTATGCTTATACTTATCCATATAGTTCAACTAAAACTAATTTGTGTATAAAACCTTTATATATATGTCCTTAGCAATTTAAAAATAAATGTTGTAAAATATAGTACGACAAAAAAAATACAAAATCAAGTCTAAAATTAAATTTCAAAATTCAAAATTAAGTTTTAATTTATCTCTCTATCTCAATTTACCAGAAAGCTCTTTGTTATTTGTGAGTAATGAGCTGATTGGTGAAACTATACGTCTGCATTAGCGCGCTGCAATAGGTAAAGCTTGATCTAGTGGTGAACTGGTGAAGTGGTGATGGCACTTCGGTTGCGTGCAAGTCAGAGTCAATCCTATATCGACATGTCAACGGACTACAAATGGGATTTGAAGGGACGATATAAAGATTTTGAACGTGGTATTCATGTGTTCAATTAAAAATAACAAACTTTCTGTCCTAAAAATATAGTTTGGTTATTTTATAAGTACTATTTAAAAACGATGTGACACCAGCATGTGTATAAATTAATTAATTTCTGATCCATAATGATTAACAATAACTTGAATTTCTCTTTGTAATATGAGACTTTTTATGGTTCTTTAGAAAATACTGGAAGATATCATGCTTGTATGTAAATTTTGGTATACCTCTCAATATCCTTATAATTAATGTATCAGGAGGTACTATATATAAATTAACAGTAAATATTTTTGGTATCTACTTATTTACGACAGTAAAATTTCTCCTAGAATACTTTCATAATATAAAACGGAATAATGCTCCTGTATTCTCTATTTGAGATTATTCTTCCCCCCTATGGCCATACCGTACATCAAAATCAGACGGGCTTGCTTCAGTTCTCTGGCTCTTGAAAGTTGAACAATCCCAAATTTTCTGGCTCTTAAGAGTTGAACACCCATTTTTTCTCAGTTAACTTATAACACGCTATGACGATTTTCTTTTGCGTTGAGATCTCCATGTGTTCTCCTTTTACCCGGCACCAAAAGGCCACAAAAACTTTCAGATTTCTCCGCATGAGGCTTTACACATATGCCTCTGATGGCGACCAACGTGGTTGGACCGCCGATAACTAACACTAACCTATCATATTCAGCAATATCCCTGGAATAATTTTCAGTCACAGAGGGAATGAACGAGCTAGCTAGGCATGCAGCCAGGTCAACACAACTTGCTTTGAACGCTTCTTGCAAGGCCCATGACGACGTAACCAGGACAGCAATTCACAAGGTTGCAACACGCTAGCAAAAAAATGGGATTATCTGTGGCTAGCTTCGTCAAGCCGTGTGCTACTGCACTTGCACTACCAACTTGCAAGTCCAGTTCGTCCAACTGAAGTACATGACCCTGCTATATGGCTAGGCCAAGTAGTCGCAACTAATGAAGGCTTGTTCGGACGGCAAGAATTTTCGCATGGACTGCTAGGATTTTCGTGTGTTTCATACATTATATATAAGTTATTTTAGTATATCGTAAGTCAAACTCTGGTCAAATTTAATTAGTTTCACAAAATCCACGACTGAAAATATATTTTTAATATATTTATCTCTTTATCTTTTTTTGAGTGTTTCTATATTTTGTGCAAACTTAGTCAAACTTAAAGTAGTTTAGCTTAGACAAACGTAACTAAAATGATTTATACTATTTAATGGAGGGAGTGATGTGGATAAATCGTTTTAGTTTTCTCGGCGCTTTACTAAATGTAAGTCACCGTTTTTAATCTTACAGTACTTTTGCACAGATGCATGTCCATTTGCCCTTGCTAAATGCAAGCCATTACTCACAAATAAACAGATCATCTTTTTCAATGTAGTAAAAATGAAAGGTAACTTAGTCATTTGAGCTGGTTTCTTAATTTATGTGTACAAGTTTAAACAACTTACATTTGAAATCAAAAGGAGTAAACAAAATTTCTTTGAAAATCCTCCATATTGCGGATTAGCAATTTTAAGATAATGTAAATATGCAAGATGATAAGCTTTGACGGATCATATACACTGCCATTCCCATGCTCGTTTGTCTCGACGTGATCTGAAATGTTGCAACAGAAGTAGGGCAAAATACAGTGAATTATATTTGTTGATATTTGCAATCGTGGTCGATCTGAATGCAGTGTCCACAATGTCGATCTGAATACAATATATCGTGGCACGGTGGCACCCCAGCTGTCTTGATGTTCAGAAAAGTAGGAGCAAATGATGTTCTCTTTTTGAAATTGTGTGCTTTTTGTCACCCCCAATATAGCTTGTCGATTCAGACCAGCCAATTAGTTAGAATATTTAAAGTACAGGCTACTACTTTGTATATGTTTGACTACCCATTTGTTAAGAAAACGAAATATATGGTATGTATGAGAGTCAAGAAAAATGATGTCTTTTGCTCATTTTTCTCTTCTGATCTCGTTTTGGACGACAAAGACTTCATACCGGTTCAAGGTATCTTGAGGGCCTGTTTGGCAAGTTACGTCAATTCTATATTTCTGTTCACCTGTAAAGTTGTCAGGCGTACATTGAAACTTGACTTTAAAAAAGAGAGAGAATTTCGTTTTGTTTAGTAGATGCTAATAAAGAGAGCACATTTTCTACGATAAATTTGTAACACCTTTGGATACTTCAAGACTACGAGGTTATTTCGATTTTCGAATGTGTAGTACATAGCTCGCTATCGTTGCTCGCCTATGGTGAAAAGGGTTTGTTTTTTAGAGATTGGGTAACTGACCGCTGTGTCACTGAGAGACAAAACCCAATGATACATCTATACCTTCTATACCCACTACTTAGTACTATAAGCTTAACATCTAAATATGACACATGATCACTCACTAGCAATATTTATCTATGGTATTTTAAAGCTCATGGAACCATGACATATATACAATTTATTACTCCAAGCATACCAAATCATGTCAATTATCATCCTCACATCATTTTCACATTATTTAACATATATATCCATAATTTATATTATATATAGCATAAAATCATCCATGTATTCCATAGCAAAGCGCAGGGTTTCAACTAGTTAATTACTACAAATGATCCACCCTAAGTGGAGTTGAGTTAAATAAAGCAACCAGTTTTCAACAAGATAAAGAATTTCAATTTGAGTAGATTCTACTGTTAGACCTGCATAATACTCTGCTCATCAAAAACCTGCACAAGACATTTTGATATTCCTCGGGTGCATTTGCATGCTTTGGCAACTATATATATTAATTTTTTTTAGATAATGGATTAAACCAGCCTCTACATCCAAACGGATATACACAGCCAACTATATATATTAATAGAAGTAAACCACCTTTTAGATTAAGAGATGAATCTTTCTTGTGGGGGGACACAATATGAAGTTAATGGAATCTTTCAAGGCTATTGCAGATTTGCAAGTGGTCTGTCTAACAAACCGAACCCTCTTATGTTATGGAAAGATCAATGGAATGGGCATCAGGCACATTCTTTTCATTGATAACAAAGTCTAATATCATACTGGAACTAGTTTCTGAACAGGATGAACTAGGCAACATCTTTAACCTGTCTGTCAGTGGAAGCCTACAACCAGTTTGAGGACCAACATGCCATCCTACAAGATCTGAGTCTCTATGACCAGAAGGATGTTTGTACTATTTGGAACTCGGATCAATACTCATCATCAATAAAAGGATACAAATGTTTCATTGGGGACTGTAAACATTGCAGTTTCTTTTAACTGGTTTATGGAAATGTTGCTCACAACCAAAGCACAAAGTCTTTTTTTTTTCGCTGATACTCAATATTAGATTGAATACAAGAAAATTTTTGAGACCAGATTACTACTTGTGTTGTGTGTAATCTGAGGCATGAAGAAACTCTCCAACATCTCTTCTTCACATGTCCTTTTGCGCTACAATGCTGGGATTTTTTTTATCGATCTACAAGAATGAGATATGTCTTACTGTAGGAGGCAATTGAACTATTGAATATATGAAAATCAAGTTGTAAGTCCCTATCTACATGGAGATCGTAATTGCAATGTCCTGGATAATCTAGATAACAGGAAACAACAAGATCTTCAGAAGCATTAATTCTCTAATTTCTGTTTGTCAAGATCATTTTAGAAAAGAATTTGCCATGGTTATCCATAGAGAAAAAGCTAGATACCTTCCCATCATTCCACAATGTCTAGACAATTAATTACTACCAATCAATGAGGAACAATGTTTGATGGTCTGGCCAATTAATTCTGAGGACTAGCACTCACGCAATCGTTACTCCATCCTTTCGATTTTGATTGTTATCAACCTTTCCTTGGTACATTGACCTCATATGAAGGTTAGCTCCTACAAGACAATGAAAGAAAGATGCAAGAGAACATGGAAAGGACACTAGATCAATATCATAAATTTGGGGTTTTAATGTGAACGTTAAGGGATTATGGTTACCTATTTATGAGAGTAAGGGTAGAGGAGTTTGGCCAGAAGGCGTATGTGTTATTGGCCGATTAGGATTGCAGGCCGCAAAAACACTTCGAATGAGTTCTGAAAGACTACAACCCAAGTTCAGTAAATATAAAAGTACTCCTCAATAAGATTCCATTTTAAGTTATGCTTGTATGTTCGGAGGAAGAAGAGCTAGAATACATACCCTTCGTGATAAGTTTGCACCTTGACTTGATCACTTGGCTTAGAAAGTGCCTCCTCATTGATCCATGCCATGATTCCTAGTTTCCTACAAACAATATATTTATATATACCTAAGAAAGAATGATAGTGGGAGTGATGAGAACCATTGGATTGACATCCAAGTGGGTAGAAAAACGACTAAAAATTTCAATCTAGACACTCCCAAACCTAAAATTTTTCTCATCTAGAACTTTTCATAAGGAGCATGATTTGAGTGGGTTGATAAAGTCATGGTTTACTATGTTTAAACTTCACACACCTATTTTGCTATCGCTAGGCAAAATTGACAATCATGTGCCAGTTTTTTTTTTTTAAAAAAAAACCAAAATACATGTTCATATTAATAGTATAAGCACTTCCATGACACATGCATCCAAATGTCTATGACAATGTCTATCGCAGAACTGAGCTTTGACCATTCTGAAGTACCTTTGAAATTATTTTCTAGATTAAGGTCGCTTGAGCAATGTCGATCTTTTAGGAGAAAACTGTTTTTACAGACCGGCCACCCCTCATTTGCAATTTCGAAATATCCATCATGGTCTTCAGTATTTTGATGCACTCCTCTCATTCCTGATGTACTGTAGCTTATCTGGCACATCAATGTAATTACAAAACAGAGCAAAGATTGCACTAAGTAATGTTAATTAGCCCCTGATCAAGGCCGGGCCTGCATTCAGGGGAGTAAACACCATGTCCTACATCACTCATATGCAATTACTGAGACCATATGCATGATTGTCTGCTTGCTTGCACGCTGCTAGCACAAGAGTCAACAGATGGGGTACCTGTACTTCCTTTGGCACCTAGCCTGAACACACATTGTCACTGATAACATTTCTGGAATCTAGAACACTGGGTATTTGTCTGTGCAATTCCATGGAGAGACCCCCAAAAAGACATCAATCGATCATCAGGCAACTCTGACCATCAGGATAGTAACAAGATTTTTTTTTTAATAGATAATGGAGGATAGCAACAAGAAGTTAACCTCTGCGATGTCGGAAACAAGCCACATCCATGTATGAAACTTGCAGCTGCATTATATTGGAGATGATGAATTGATGATGTGAATTTATAGCACTCTGGATGCTGTAGGACAGCAGCAATCAATGATCAATATGTTGGAACTTTTGTGGTTTTATAATGTCTTCTTGGACGGCTCGACCACTCTTGCTCGATCTTCTCACATGAATTATGCATGAGAACTGGCTATATTTTACATATATATGATCGAGCAAATAATGCATCAAGAGTCACATCACAGTGCAAACATTGATGTAAGTATGTAACGAGATGGCTGGCCTAGTACAATGTTTGGTCTTCTGTTGCCTGACCATTAGCGGAGCATGTATATATATAGTACTAGTACTGCTTGCAATGCTTAAAATAGCAGACTTGCAAGCGTTTGTTACCTGAATAAATTGAGAGAAAATGCAAGAAGGGGACCAATAATTTACACTCTTAAACCTACAAAATACAGGTAGTAGTTAGTTCTGACATGAATCCCATAAGCACTACAGATAGGCAGCAAGTGCTAGCAAATGGCAAATTCCAGTGCAATGTACTGAAAGATAAGTTGCATATAGATTCAGTTAAGTATTGTCAAACAGTGCCTGTAATCTTCTTTTATATTTTTCAGATCATTTACCATCTATCTAGCCATCTGATCTGCTTCATGGAAAGACAACCAAAATATTTGTTATTGCAAGTGGAGAACTCTGAAAACTCAATTACAAGAGCATTTGCAAGTATGCAAGAACGAAACCTAGTATAAAAAAATATAACTTGCAAAGACTGAAGGTGAAAGACTAGCTACAGTACGGTAAGCAAAAATAGATTCAGGTACGATGAATCTAATCGATCGATCTACTGGATCATACATGATGTTTACTAGATTGAGTTTTCATCAATACCATAAATAAAGTTGCACACACCTGTTCTTCATGGTAATCTTAGTTTATATTTCTGAAGCTCTAGGCAAGGGCCGAAGTAGTAAGAACCTCCGCATTCGTCTTACCTACCTTACAAGATAGCTTCATAGTTTTCAGACAGGAAACAACAGCTAGTAGCTAGCAACAAACCAAATTAGTCATCATCAACAAAACTAAAAGAAAAGGTTCCATCTTAATTTATAGAGCTTTCATGCATGCCCTGAGATAATGATGGACAAGGAAATCACAGAAGAATAAGAGCGACCAAACCATTCAAGAACATGCAGACGAGGAAGAACAGGAGACAAAAACTCAGTAAATGCATGCATTGTTCCATCAGAGGAGTAAAGAAAGAAAAACTTTGGAGAGAGGAGAGGAGATCGAGATCAAAACGTTATTGCGCAAGAACCGCACAACCATGGCCATAGCCAGCGCATCGCCGTCGATACCTATCCTTGACATGATCAATAAACAAGCCTTCTTTAATTTTGAGCTTTTCTCTTATCTGAAGATCAACAGGGGCTCTGGATGAACATGATAGGCATGGACAACGATGCGGTGTCATATGGAATCGTTGCGCGGTCTTGAGCAAAACGCCTCTCAAACTTCATGTACACACACAAAGAATGTGCAGACACATTACCTGGGGGCAGCAGGTAGGAGAAGGATCAGAGATAAGCGAGGAGAGAGCTGGGCTACGGACATATGTCAAGATAGTCTGGATGGCCTATAGACTGCTATACAAGGTGCTCCCTCCGTTTCATATTATAAGTCGTTTGATTTTTTTTCCTATTTAAAATTATTTAGGTTTGACAAAAAAAAATTAGCAAAATGCACAACACTAAGTTAGTTTCATTAAAATTGAAATTAAATATTTTCGATAATATGTTTGTTTTATATTAAAAATACTACTATATTATTCTAGAAACTTGGGAAAACCTAAAGAAATTTGACTAGGAAAAAACTAAACAACTTATGATATGAAGCAGGAGTACAAGTTTGCCCAGATGGTACTTTAAGATTTGTGCAAACTTTGATACAGGTTTTTTTTAAAAAAAGAATATATTATATTAGTGGTATACGAACCTGTGAAGTGGGTGCAATATTGTCAATTTTAAAAAAAGAGTATTTTTTTTATAACCTAAACTTATAAGATGCCAATTTCCATGTAGGAACATTCGTAGTTTGTGTAAACGAAGGCTAAAACAACAAACCATGCATGGCTGATCTTACTAACGTCTACTCCTCTACGTAATTCTACTCCTCTACGTAATTAGAATGCCACATAAGCATATACATGTTCACTTAACCATAAGTTATACATATGCTCAGATGAAGGCCAGGTGCAGGGATAGAGAGAGGTAAAAGAAGAAAAAAAATAGAAACCAAGTACATAGTTTGTTTTCAAATATAACATGCCTAGTACCCTAGTCATGTACTCCCTCTGTTTCAAAAAAAGACAAACCCTAGTTTTCGTGCTCAACGTTTGACCGTCCGTCTTATTTGAAAAAATTATGAAAAAAATTAAAAAGACAAGTCATGCATAAAATATTAATCATGTTTTATCATCTAACAACAATGAAAATACGAATTATAAAAAAATTTCATATAAGACAGACAGTCAAAGTTGGACACGAAAAACCAGGGTTTGCCTTTTTTGGGACGGAGGGAGTATGCGCGTATGTGTGGCATCTTAATCAGCATCCACATAAGCAAGATTAGGTATGGTGTACTATGTTGACTTCGGATCGCAAACATTTTGTTGCAAGTTTATGAACTGAAATAAGCGTTTATTAGAAGTTTGTGTACAGTTCTTTTTTTTCTTGATAATTGTGCTATAGAAGTGTCGTTCAAGAACAGAGTTCTTTTGGATGAGGGAGTAATTTTCTTCCCTTACCGCTAGCGTAATTTACTCTTTTACAAAAGTTTGGATTGAGCCCTCCACCCATAACACGGGAAAAAAAAATCATGTACCAGTTTAGAATCATGAGCGACGACCAAAACCCTAACCGGCCACCACCTCTCCCCTCCCTCCCTGACCTCGTTGCCACCTAAAGCGGGTCACCGGAAACTATGTGGCAAGATAGGACTACGTCTTAGGACTGGAGCTCGGCTTTGGCCACTGTATTTAACACGGAAGAAATGGGTGGCACGTGAGCGACAACAGCGGCCGGTGCAGAGCAGAGCAGGTGGTGCACCTGTGAGGAGAAATTGGTGAACATGGCGGCGCGAGGTGGAGTTGGTTGTGGTGGCACGGAGAGAGGCCTACCATGGCAACGACGCGAGAAGTTGGACGTGCTAGGGGCGCACTGGCGAGGCGTGAAGGGAGGAGGCCAGCTGTGGGGTGGGGGTGAGGGGAGGGGCCGTGGCCGGTCTGTTACTCTGTTGGTGTCTCATAGAAGGTCCAACTACATATCTTGGTGCTCCGTGTGGGTTTTACCAATTTCCCTCAAATTAACAGTGTTACAATAAAGTTTGATCTCAGGCCATGTTACAATTGTTATTTGAATTAAATCACTTATTAGCTATTTCCTTTATAAGAGTCCTGTACTCATATAGTAACTCCCCACAAGTAAGACCATTATGTTGAAACAAACATATGGTGTATATATTCATTATATGCACCACAAAATTTCCCTTGTATAATATCTATGTGTGTGTGCAAACCACTAATTAAGAAATCCAAAGTGTATAACACTTTTGGTTGCAGTGACCTGAGTAGTACCCCAAGATTCTGAGTTCAAGTCTCCATAGGAGCGAATTTCAGATTGGATTATTTCAGGGCTAAGTTCTATATTTGATAGGCTAAGTTTCTAATTTAAAAATACTATATATATCCGGTTGTATGTAGAGGATACCCTTCTCTAAGAAAAAAAAAGTGCATAACACGGATAAAATGAAACTAAAATAAGTGCTGAAGAAAAAGTTGTTTTCCTCAAGTCAGACTGTCGCTCGACCACACTAGGATAGGCAAAAGAACCAAGGCTACTGTGATCTTGTTTGTTAAAATAAAGGCAGAAGCTCTGCCTCCTTTCGTTAATAAAGAAGATAACGCATTGACCCAATAAATGGTTTACACTAAAAACACCATCCTACGAATACCTCAAGATCATTTCCCAAATCTACACTAATCACCTGAAAACACCAAAGCAATCAAAACATCTATCAGTAATCTTGTTCCCGTCGCTTCAGATGAACCTACCATATATTCACTGCTGTTGTTGCTGATTAATTAGCTGAACCCGTCATGATGATGAACAGCTTGATCAGGAGCTCACCGATCTAGCTACAGTCTTCAACTCACATGCATGCATCGTCTCATCGGTCTCTTGATTCGGTTCAAAACAACACATTTAGTCATCTTCCTTTTTTAGCGCTGTGTCACCAAGTAGATAAACAAAGGAGTCATAAGTTATTTAAGGATGTTACTCTATTTACATAGATAAAAATCAGCCAATATCTTCCACAAAATGTGATTAATTTTCTGTAGATTAGTATATATGCTTATTTTTCTATCTCGGTTAGATCAAATCCTTGTTTTACTTAACTTCTGTAATATGCAGAAATTTATTTACATGAATGCATTAGATTAAATGGTCAGGCATGATTATGTATTAATGTGCAGCGTGCTTACTTGGGAGAGCTTTCATGACGAAAAAGCACACCGCTATGACGATATAGGAAAATACTAGATTCAAACCCTTCAAGTAATGCCATTTGTCATCCTGTAAAATTATAGACATAAAATTCATCCGACATGTGTTAGTCTTGACAAAAAAAAAATTGGTGCATCTGTTAGCAATTATTTTTATTACCTGAAGTGTAAATGCGGTGGTGATTACTGCCATTGCCAATGATCCAGTCTCAAGAAGGTTGAAGTCAAGATCCATAGGGATGGCATTCACCCAGGACACAATTAGAATGACTGGTACCTAATCATGTAGAATAAATACACTCATGAAAAATCTAAAGATAATCATACCAGAAAGTCCTTCAAAGTCGAAGAACACTACTATTAATTACGCACCACAAGCATCGATATTTGAGTTGCTGATCCAAGAGTAATTCCCAGACTGATATCCTACATAACATCTACCAGTTAACTTGGGTAATCTGAACTCACATAATATGTACAAACTTGACTAGTAGAAACATTGGATACGTCCTTACGATTTTGTTCTTGAAGGCAAATATGATAGCGCCTGCATGCTCTGCTGCATTTCCAACAATAGGTAGTAGGATAATACTAATGAACCTGACAGGGATACCCATTGATTCTGATGCTTCCTGTTAATAGAGATTGTTACAGTAGTCAATCCAATTGAATTTTGGGTGATGAAAAGAAAATGACTACCATGTTTATAAATGTTCATCATCTTCCAAATTATACCTCTATTGTAGTAACAACATAACTAGACAACATAGCAGTGACTACGGCCATCCCTATCAACCAGACCATTGCACTGGCAAATCCTATAACTGATTTGTCTGTAGCATCATCTTCACTGCTACTGCTATCTGAACTGTCCTGCAATTTAATGCTCGCCCAAATAAGTGTTATGAGAAGATGGATTTAATCAGTAAGTTTGAAATGGTGCACCGTGTCCAAAAACAAGAAAAATAACAATCTTGTTTAATGTGTTTTTATTTGTCAAACTCCACAGTACCTACATTTCAAAGATTCTGAAATTTTAATTCAAAACAGAGAAAACATACTGGTAAAAAGAAACAAAAAGAAACAGAGTATAAATTTTAGACAGAATTAAAATATGGGTAAATGATCCCAAATTGCAGCTAAGTGGACAATGCCATTACTGTGTAGGTTTTTCCCTATCTGGCAACCCAAAGAAATGTTTGCCTACCTGCAGTAGAAAATGCAGTTGTTCTGTTGTTCACAATGATAATTACAACTATTGACACCATTCCTATATCATCCCTAGGCTGCGTTCTATACCAAAGGTTCCCAACTTCCCTCACTCATTTTCCACGCGCACGCTTTTCAAACTACTAAACGGTGCGTATTTTACAAAAAAATTCTATACGAAAGTTGCTTAAAAAAATCATATTAATCCATTTTTGAAAAAAATAGCAAATACTTAATTAATCACGCGCTAATCGCTGCTCTGTTTTCCGTGCCAACGCAGCCTTAGTTGAGAATTGAGATACAGAACTCGACTATACTAGTGCTACATGCAAAAACTTTACTAAACTTAGCGTTCGTTCTGGTGAGTTAGGGTGAGAAAGCACATTGTAGTCCGCGCACACGCTTCCCAAACTACTAAACAGTGTGTTTTTGGCAAAAAAATTCTATAGAAATGTTGCTTTAAAAAATCATATTAATCCATTTTTGAAATTTAAAATAGTTTATACTCAATTAATCATGCGCTAATGGCTCACCTTGTTTTGTGTATCTTCCCAATCTTCTTAATCCCCTATCCCTCAAACTCACCCTTAGGGCTCCTTTGGCAGCCCAGGATCCCACTGGGATCCCAGCCCATTCCCTGGGAGAAAGGCCCACGGGGGAAATTGTCACGGGTTTTATTCCATGTCCATTTGGAAGCCCACGAGGCAGGGATTTCCCGGCCCAATCCGCGGGGAAACCCTAGGGAAAGGACCCCGACCTTCGGAGGTCGGGAATTTTTCCTCTCTCAATCCGCCGCTGCTTCTCGCTCGCGCAACAGGAGTCCCTTCTCTCTCGTGCGAACAACAGCGGGCGCCGCCGCGCCTCCTTCTTCGGCGAGACCCGCCACCGTCGGGACTCCTCCTCCGGCGAGAAGGGTAAGCCCTTCTCCTCATTCCTCTCCTCTCCTCCTCCTAGGGTTTCCGTTCTCCTCCTCCTCTAGGGTTTCCGCCTCCTCTAGTTAGCTCCCAATCTCGCTCTCCGGCCTTAGCGCTTGCATCACAGGCACCGACACGTGGGCGCGGCGGGTGGCACCACGGCAGCCGGGGTAATGACGACGAGGCGGCGCGCCGGTAGCGTGGGCGCACGGCTCCAAGCAGGCGGGGACAGGGGGATCGAAGGCGGCGCGACTCACCGGCGGAGGAGGCGCTGAGGCGCAGATCCGCCTCCTCCTCCTCGCTGCTCGACGCCCGCCGGCGGTTGCCCGGCTAGGTTTGTGCCCTTGTAGCTGCTGCTTGATTCTTGGGGGTTCGTTCAGTACTTCAGTTTTCTTGGTGTATGTCTGGTCTGTTCTTGATTTGGTTTGGGAGAGTTGTACTCTGTTCTCCTGTTCTTTCTAATACATTGTAGTATTGTACCCTGCAGTAGCAATTCATTTTGTTATGGAAGCGATTCAGAATGGGATATGGGTGCGCGTATGGTGCTCTTGTTTTAGATCATGAAAGAGTTTTGGTAAGATGATGTTCTAATTTGATGGAGTAGGTTGTGCTCTGGTTTTTCCTACAGTGTAATATCATGCTTAGTGCAGTCTAAATATGTGAGATCAATGTGCCAGTCCCAAGAAATGAGGAATTATCACACATGCAGTGAGGATCTTTCAACTAGTGAGGTATATGAGAAATTTTAGTCTGCAAACCAGTAACAGTTTTTTTGTAGTTAATTAGAGATGCAGTTCTTTTAGTTGGATGCTGTCAGCTCTGTTAACCTAGAGGTAGATCTCAGTACTGGTTGAGCTGCTAGCATCAAGTTTTTTGTTTTTTCTAGAGGCACTTTTTAGTCTGATCCATTCTTGTAGTCTCTGTCAGGAACTGTAGAATTAGTGGTCAATTTAGCATGCATGTTGGGACTAAATAAATGGTAACAATCATATTTTTGATAGGAACTCATACTTACTACAAAATGAAGTCTTTTATGCTCTATACTTATACATTAGTCCAAACTTTAGTTGCATGTCATGTATCACAAGCAGAAAATGAGCAAGGTGGCATTGTGCATTCAAAAAACACAAGCTTTGGCAGCAACCTATATACAAAGACACGCACACACAGATATTTCAATCTCCTCTCTCTCTCACTCCCTGCACAATACACTGGCCAAACAAAGTGACCTAGTAGTACTGATTAATTAAAACAACAACTACTACTACTACTACTACTTTTTTTTCCTTATCATGTCCATAATGATAATTCATAATTGTGCTCTTGCATTCCTCCTCTTGCCAGGATTCAATTTGAATTGCATGCTCAACTTACTTTCAAATATGGACTTGAAATAGAGTATTGCTGGAAAACTATCAGTACAAAAACATGGACTTCAAATGTGTTTGATTTAAAAATAATGGTGTGTATCTGCATGTAGGGTGTTTGATCTAAAAAGAAAGTGCTTACACCAAGAGTTTGTTTACGCTGATGTAGCTGACAATTGCAATATGTTGGTTGATGTGCATGCATTTTTTTTTCCTAAGCTAGTATCAATGGCCGTCCTTCAAATTTGATTGCTGAAGTATCACTATTTTATATTTATTACTTAAATTTCAGATTATATTTTTCATCCTGGCAGATTTATTAGAACATATAAAGATTTGTAGAAGAGATGATGAAGAAGATAGAAGAGATAAAGATTTAAATGGACCCATGTCTCATTCTTGATCAAGACATTGTAACCCTGTATAAATATGATGTACAATTCTATATTTGTGGATGCAAGGATGATTCCAAAGATTTTAAATTTTGTATGATATGGATGATTCTAAAGTTTAACTTATGTCATGTCACGAAGTTGGTTTCCACATAAACTCATCTATATTTCTTTGTATTTTTCTGAATTTCTAATACTTGTTGATTTTTTTATGTTTTTATATTTTTTCTGGAATTTTTGTAGGTTGTTTCCTATTTATATGGATTTTCTATATACTTTCTATTTTTCCTGAAATTTCTATAATATTTCATATAGACATGTTTTGTTGTTCAAACACTGTTTAGCAGTTTGCCTCTCTAAATCCCCCTTCCCCCATCAACCCCCTCTCCCTACTCTCAAATGGTAGCAGGGAAAATTTCCCTAACAGGAGTGATTCCCCTGGTGGTGGAAGGGGATTGGTTGGTGCAGGGGAAAATCCCTGTACGGGACTTTTTCCCGGGGGTTTCATCCCCCTGCATCCAAAGGAGCCCTTAGTGAAGTAAGTGAAATCGACTCAGCATCTTGACTTAGTGAAGTAAGTTTTGTACCTCTTCAAGCTCAAATATTTGACGATGAGTTTTCAACTGGAACATGAGGCTTCCAAAGTAAGCAATTAGCATTACTATAGCGCATGATCTTGATAATTGCATAACTGAGCTTGAGTTTATGCTATCTCCGGTGCTACTTGTGTATTTAGACACTAGGGTAGCAATATGACAAAGAACACCCAACAACAGAAGGCCTATGCTTACATCTGCTTGTCTCTGTTAAAATAGATCGATCACAAAAAGTTAACACGGTTACATATGTTATAGTTACTGCCTGTATGTGCACTTTTACACTTACCTTATCTAGTGGACGCTCCTTGCCGATATTAACGATCCCTCCAAAGAGGAGTGATGAACCAAGAACAAGTAACAAATTTGATAAGATGGAACCTAACAGTGACCACTTGAGAATTTCCATCTTATTCTTATGCAGAGCGAACAGTGCAATGATTAATTCAGGTACATTCCCACATGTTGCATTCATAATCCCACCAGCTATAATAAAATAAATTCCATATTAGAGGAAACTATCAAGTAATTAAAGACTGTAAGACTGTAAATCTGTACTTGGAAAAGCATATGTCAGAATAGTACAAAGTCCTTGGAACAAAATATATATGTGAGGCTCAACATGTTTGTATTCCATGCACTTTTAAGTGCCTAATTCTCAATTCTCAGTATCAGTGGAAGTTGTCAAAAGGAATATCAGAGTAAACTTTAAATATGAGTTCATTTCAATTTATATAAGTCCAAATTCCAATGGCAGCTGGAGATAGTAGTATATTTTAGGCCAATGTACCAACTTATTGACCTCTTTTTTTTTAATACTAGCAATACTGACAACACACGCATTACAATACACAGTATTTGCATATTGATCAGTTTTGAGAGAAGTTTAAATTTGTTCAGAAAAAATGACTTAAAATAATAGTCCAATCCCTCAACTGTCCTATTTGTACATGTTTGTGCGTACATCAGTAGCTTGAGTACATGTGTTTCCGCATGATTTATCAATTTGGTTTGACGTCATAGTTTTCATCTTCTACATAACCTATGTTCCTTTAATAAAAGCAGTGGTGGTGGCAGTGAATCTGCTACCCACCTACCCCCATTTTTACAAATTATCTCATAAATTTATTAATATTAAAAAATAATCAAATCTAAATGGATAGCCATGTAAAATTAAATTAGGATGAATATTCTCTGTAGAAAAGTATCAGCAACACATTTCATGGTAAATATGTTTTTTTTTATTTTTGACAATATTATAATATATATTTTTAATCGGCAACTAATAAAAATCAAGAACAATTAGAGATGGCACATACCTGTTGGTCCTACAGTATTGGCAATATGTCTGAAAAAGCAGAGATCAGGCTAGTGATCAGTGACAGAAGAGTGAACCTCGAAATAATCATACAAATCACAACAAAACAGATCACAATTGACTCTGAGATATTACTCGCTCAGGAAGCTCACACGTTCTGCAAGCGGTGCCAGGCCTATCAAGCTGAAGGCAAACACCCAAACCTGCCGATAAAATATGTCACCATATATTAGTGAAAAGACAAGACATCAAAATGCGATAAAAACACATTATGATGATAATATGCGTGAAAAAGATAAGCGTGTGTGTATCATTTTAACCTACTCGTTTCTATTTTTTCATGCCAATAATGTGCAAAACTGATTTCTTTTCTATATTATTTGTATTAGGAAATTCATCAAACAATGTGCATGCATTGTTAAGTAGGCACTCCATACATGTTACAATTGCTAATGATCAGTACTGTTCAAATACAGAATCATTCTGCAAACGCAACAACGTTGAATGTTGCCAGTTCTCGGGGCAACCAAGCAATTTCATTCTTACAAAGAGCTCCTGGTATTTATTCCAATTGTTTCACATGGTTATATGTTGTACTGCTTGTAATATAGTCCCTTTCATAAAGAAAATATATAATGAATTGCAGTTTGGGTCATCTTCTATTACCAAAGTTTTTTTTTTGAGAGGAACGACGGCAGGAGAGCTGCCGGAATTTAATTGAAAGGAGAAAACAAAACAAAAAACAGTTACAATCCCGTCAAAGGGACAAAAGTTCCAGGTTCCATAGGAAAATCAGGGAGGCCTAAATGCCGTCTTACGCAGGTCTAGATCCTGCTTAACAAGACAAGCGACCTCAACAGCTGTACAAGAAATGTTTTGAAAAATTCTCCTATTCCTTTCTAGCCAAACATTCCACCAAGTTGTTAATAAAGCTCCTCTAACAACTTTCTTTTGGGACTCTGAGCCTTGTCGATTGATTTGTTCCCACCATGAGGAGGTTTCGGCCGGCTGTGAGTTGAGGACTACCAAATTATGCCATTTACAGACTAAACTCCAAACCTCTCTGATGAAGTTGCATTCACAAAACAGATCATTGGTGTCCTCGAACGCGCAGGTGCAAAGTCCGCATATCCAGTTGCAAGGCCAATGTCTCTGGAGTAGATTTTGAGCCATTAGAGTTCTTTGGTGGAGAATAAGCTAACCGAAAGACCTCACTTTAGGTTCAGCTGGGGCCTTCCAGAGAGAGACAAAATCCAACCGAGAGAAAGATCCTTCAAATTGATAAGAGTACGCACTTTTGCTTGAGTAACAGCCTACGGAGTTCCAATTCCAAGTTATGTCATCAGAGTTTTGAGAAAATTGGAAATCTTGAAGCAACCCTCCCAACCGCACAAGGTCATGGATCTCCTCGATCATCGTAAATTGTCTGAAGGAAACTAGCCAGTTGCTTGAAGACATTTCCGGTTGAACACTTCTTTGCTTTCGTTTTGCCAATTGAAAACAAAGGGGGGCAACATCTTTAGGACAACTTCCATGCAGCCAATGATCTTGCCAGAAACTAGTTTTTGCTCCATCGCCAATTACAATCGTAGTTGCTGCTTGAAACAACCGTTTGTCAATATCATCGCATGGTAGATTCATGCCGGCCTAGGGTTTATCAACCTCTTTCCATTTGAGCCACAGCTAGCGGAGACGAAGAGCTCTAGAGAATCTTTCCAAATCAGGGAGGCCCAACCCTCCCAAGGATTTTGGTCTGCACACTGTCTGCCAGTTTACCAGACAACTTCCAGGATTCAAATGATCAGGGTCCTCTTCCTTCCAAAGAAACAATCTCTGAAATCGATCAATCCTCTTAAACACCCGTTTCGGTACTTGGAGGGCCGAAAGATGGTGGATTGGCATTGAACTAAGAACTATTTTTACCAGAGTCTCTCGCCCTGAAGATGAGAAAAAACGTCCTTTCCAAGTTGGGAGGCGCGCCTAATTTTTTCAATTAGGGGAAGAAAATCGATTTTCCTCAATTTTCGGAAGTGGAGAGGTAAACCAAGATAACGACAAGGGAAGGCCATAACTATACCCGGGAATATCTGGAGCAATGGAGTTAAATCAACTTCGTCACACCTTATGAGATAAATTTCTATCTTGCCAATATTTGTATGGAGACCTGACACTTGTGCAAAGAGATTTAGAATCTTGAGGAGAGTGCTAAGCTCTGGCGCATCTGGCTTTGTAAACACGGCAACATCATCAGCATATAGCGAGCAGCGAAATCTATTACGGTTACCCTCAACCGAAGCAAGAATGGAAGCACTTTCAGTCGCTTTGATAATCTAGTGGAAGGGCTCCATAGCGAGAATGAAGAGCATTGGCGATAGAGGGTCACCCTAATGAAGTCCCCTGGCGTGAGGAATAGGTTGCTCAGGTGCGCCATTGAGGAGAACGCGGGACGATGAAGTGGAGAAAAGATTAGAGATCCAATGTAACTAGCGATTGCCGAAGCCGAATTGTCGAAGAACATCAAGTAAGTAGGACCATCCAACTGTGTCGAAGGCCTTTGCAATATCGATCTTGATGAAGAGGCTTTGTTTTCTTGATCTATTCAGAAACTAAACCATGTTTTGGACAAAAAGAAAATTGTCATGAATTGTTATTTTGCGTATGATCTATTACCAAAGTTTTAGTTTGGACGTGATTTATAAACCACACTTATGAGATTTATTTGGGTTTCATGGGCAAGTACTATTGTTCGTCCTCCTTTCCACCCTTGACCTCTTGCAGCGCATAGAAACACTAGCCGAAGTTTCCCTCTCTCCACCAAGTTCTCAAATGGATTTCCCAAAAGTCCAATGTGGACAAGGCGACCATACATAAGCTCCACGCTTTACCTAAACTATTCACTTTAAACTAGGTAAATTTATCTCAATGTTACTTTAAACCAGCCCAATTCTCTTATCCATTAACTATAACTGATCATCCTGTGTCGAATGTGTGATTTACATATAGCATCAGGGGTTTATCGTTATGCAAGAGTCGGTGTAATCAAGGTTATTGATATATTTTAGAAGATAGTTGAGGGTGGTCCAAAATGACAAAAAGGTAAAAGCAACTAGTCCAAACAGAAAAAAAATGTGGATTAAATGGTGATCTAGCGAAACTTTGGCAATAAAATGTGTCCAAACTGAAATTTACTCAATAATATATAACATTTTGGAAACTAGTATTCAAAATTGAGTATTAAATATTTTACTACGGGTCTACTGCAATCAATATTACATGATATCCCAATATGCCTTCATATTTCACTATATATGAGCACAGGTAAACATAAAGAACGACTAGATGCACTGTAAAACATAATGCGATGCATGTATAACTCTGAAGGTATAGAGTATATCATATTTAAATCTGGTGAGATCTTATCCATGGTTGGAACTACTGTTGTGTCCATAACAAGTTTAAAAGTTCTCTTCCGGCTAACTGTGTGAATGCACAACATTAGAATATTTTATGATAGAAGTGATCCAAGCCACTGATTTGTACATTCTACTATCATAGAAAACAATTATACACTCTTTAATTGTACTATCAATAATTGAAGATGATAATATAAATATATATGGTCTATTGGATGAAAAAATATATAAAAAAATTATTGATTACATTACAAGTAGATGCCGTAAAAATTATCAAACATTTAATTTTCCACAAAAATTACAAGAAGACAAACCAATGAAGAAAATGCTACGACGAAGCTTCAAGGAAGCTTCTCTAATATTTTTCTTTCCCTGTCAGCAGCAAGTGAAAGAAGCTTATTCTGTTAAGAATCAAGAGTACTTACAACATGTGTGGTCATACATACGTCACGTGGAGAAATTTTAATGTAAGTCATATTCTTTGACATTTCTAATCATGTGCTTGTACTTGTTAATAAAGGTTAATTTGTCAACTATACTAGTGACCAGTCATGGTCAAACGCATACGCGTATTCTAGTACTCAGGTGTATCACGCCCTCGGTTAATTTACACTGCTTGGTTTATCTCCATTCTTAAATCGCAGATAACGAAAAAAATGCTGATTTAATGGATTACAGATAAAAGCGATGAACTCTTAATCAGACTATTACAAAAACGAACGGAAATGAGTTTTTTCTTTACTTTGACCAATATAATATGATATTTCCTGCATTAGCGTTTATATTTTATAAGTTTGGACATTTAAACTTCACAAATAACACTTCCTAAAATGTCTAATTACGCAGTGTAAGGATGCATCTAATCACACCTTTTACTTGATTGTAACTTCAGAAATTATGTTTGCTTTTATGTTGCCTAAGACGCAAGTTAAGATTATTTGAACCAACAGGACGGAAAAATTGACAGCACATACAAGAGAAGATAACACTATACTCTTAAATGATTTTTCTGGATGAGACCCTCTTTAGGTTGCACACGGATCGTAACTGGTCACGTCTGCAAAAATTAATTTCCATTTTTACATACGGCTCCTTAAGAGGATCGCATGTAAAAATCGATTTTTGCAGACTGGCCTCTTGAGAGTCCGCATGCAAAAATAAACATATTTTTACAAGCGGAACTCTTAATGGGCTGCATGCGAAAATATATTTTCACAGGCGTGCTTCTTAAATATTTGCCTAAACTCTAAGTTACCTCCTCTTCCCTCCCAATACTTTAAAATGTTTCATCCTTATCCTCTTTCCATCTCTCTCTCACATACTCTCCTCATACTCCTCTCTCCCGGAGCTCACTTCTATCCTCTCTCCCTCGACTCCCCTCCCAGGAGCAGTCAGCGGCAGGTAGCAGTGGTCGAAGGGCGCATGACGGCGGGCGGTAGCAGCGGACGGCCCTGCCCCACACGTCGAAGGAGGCAACGACTGCAGCGGTAGGGCCGTTCCCCGAGCAGATCCGGCGGTGGCGGCCATCCTCCGCCTGGATCCACGTGGATCCGGCGGCAGCGATAGGCACACAATGGGCAGCAGCGACAGACGGCCGACCCTCCCCACACGTACGTCGAAGGACGAGACGATGATGACGTCCCCCGCATGGATCCCGCGGCAGCGGCCATCCCCCGCGAAGATCCGGCAATAGCGGCAGGCGCACAGGCGGCATCAACGGTTTTGGTGACGACTAGGGTTTTGATTTTTGGCTATTTTTATTTTTTATTTTTGCGTGCAGACGACATAAGCACCCACATGAAAAAATGGCGATTTTCGAGACACCTTCGGGTAGACAGGCGGCTTAACCACACGTAAAATTGATTTTGATCGTTTGGAAAAATACCCTTTTAGTAGTAATGCACACAAACACCACCCACAGAAAATATATACCCCGAATCCACTGGCCCCATCAACGGATCCAGCTCTTGTACACTTATGCAGACCCAGCTGCATCAATGACAATGACAAGGTGTAGGCGTGTAGCGTTTCACCTGCATTTCCATTTATAACGTCCTATTCGTTTGTCAAATAAAATCCCTTGCCCACAGGTCCGTACGTGCAAGTCACACCTGTACAGACAGCTCGCCTAGGCTTACCTGCCTGTCTGTTTATTGTACATACTCCCTCTAAATTAATAAATTTGTATTGCTAGGTAGTGTCTAATCATCTGTCCAGTTTTATACTTACTTCTTCCATCCAAAAAAAACACAACCTAATACTTATATGAAACATAATCTACATAATTCGTTGTATTAGATTTTGTCCCATTCAAATACTAGGTTAGGTTTTTTTTAAACGGAGAGAGTATTAAATGATGTCTAATTAAGTACTCCCTCCATTCCATAATATAAGGCACAACTACTTTTTTTGATGTTCCATAATATAAGTTATGTATGCATGCATATAATTAACTATGACCTCTTCTCCATTAAATTATTACTTTTTAAAATCCTCCACCTCAAATCTCTAATTCTACTGGATACATGCATTATATTATTAGGGTGTCCAAACTAGGAGATGATAATAATTGTTTTTTGGTTAAAGGTGGTTGTGCCTTATATTTTGGAATGGAGGGAGTACTGAGTTATTATTATATTTTAAAACCGACGGACGCTGTAAAGGCATGCACGCAGCAGCTCTTCCAGACTCCTGACCCTCCGCTATGAAAGGGGGCAACAACCAAAATCTTAAATATCTTGATGTGGTCATTGACGACAAAGACAGTACAGGTGAAAGGGCATCTAACCACGTAAAATAGTATTGGTTTGACAGGAATTGTGTGCTGGAAGGGCTTCAGTGTTGGTTTCTGCTAAATTTGTGTGGTCTCTCTTTATTTTTCTACCGCAACAAATCCAAAATGCCCAAAATGTGTTGGAAGCTGAGTGGCTTGGTTGTACCTATAGCTAGTACTTAAAACGTCCATATATATGCCGGCCCACAGTTTGGAAGTATTTGATGTATATATCTGATCATGTTCAATCGTGTGTTTATTGTGTATGAGAGTGGGTGTAGCTTCTTAAACGTACCCAAAACCTAAATGTTCACATGCATGATATAATCTACCATCTCCGTTTCAGTTTATAAGACTTTCTAGTATTGTCCACATTCATATAGATGTTAATGAATCTAGACACACATATATTACTAGATTCATTAACATATATATGGATATGGGCAATGCTAGAAAGTCTTATAATATAAAACGGATGAAGTAATTTTTTGCAACTCCTGTCCAACTTGACTCTTGTTTGTCAACGAATGCATGTCCTGATAAAAACCAATGCCAAGTTTTTTCTTTTTTTGAAAAAAATAAGCAAACAAATGATCGGTAGCTTGCTAATTCGTCGATGCACATCTTATGAATTAGATACACACGCATGTAAAAGTAACTATAATTAGCTTATCCTGCTGCAAACTAAACAAAGGATTAAATTTCGGTTCACTATCGTAGCTCTCATCACCTCGCCGACCGCACAACTTGCATTGCTTACTTACGTTCAGCCTCTCAGCTGTATGTTTAACTAATAGCGTTTAGTCACTAACTGCTCACAATTTTTAGCAAAACCACCCCCGCCATATATATTGCATCCTAGCTGTAACATATAGCCAAAGAATTGTTCCCTCGGTTCTAAAATATGCTTCCTCTATTTTATAATATATGACGTCATTAATTTTTTGATAAACGTTTAACCATTCATCTTATCTAAATTTTTTGGGTAAATATAAAAAAATTTAAGTCATGCTTAAAACAACATTTGATAATAAATCAAGTCACAACAAAATAAATAATAATTACATAAACTTTTGAAATAAGACGAATGATCAAGTATTTATTAAAATGTCTATGGTGTCATATATTAAAAAACTAAAGCAGTAGTAAATTTTAACCTTCGATACGGATATTATGGAGAGGGGTAAAATGATTTGGTTGTCTCCTTGGATGGGGGAGGTATTGGCTAGGACTAATTGAGATATGTGTAGCATGGGTAGTTTAGTGTATTTTCATCCGTGTCATCTTTTTAATATTTCTAAATAAATGTAGGAAACAAAATAAAATTTCAGCCTATTTTTCTGATCATATCCTACCCTAGGCAATTGGTATAAATATTTCAGAACCATGACAAATAGTATGTCCATATTAGTATTAGGTCGTACAAAACTATGCACTGGTGCTAACTAACTTATCTAACCAACCAGACTAGATGATGCGTACAGAAGAGACATGCAAGTCCTGTCCAACTATTGGCTGTATTCTGAAATTTTTTTAATTTTGCAACTCTGAAAGGTATAAGCAACTTGTAATAAAGTGCAGGAATGTTCTGTAGTAGGTGACTACTAGTAGCCTAGTAGGTCCAAAATCCAGATGTGTACTCTGCAGTCTCCAGGCGCAACCTCCGGTGAGAAGAGAAGCGTCTCTGGTTTGCTTGGCTTATTTGGATTAAATACAATTTTTACCATACTAATTTTTTAACTTCAATATTATTAAATGGTTATTTGGTTTTCTATTAATTTTTATCTATACTACTCCCTCCTTCCCAAATTGATCATCATATAATGGAATTAAAAATTACTTAAATTGATCGTCGTATAATCGCATGGACACGGATTTCATCAAAATACAATTAATGCAGCATGAAAGAATATGTGAATGCTAAGGCATTTTAATCGATACATATATTATTGGAGAATGTGTGCATGGTGTCTTGATTGATATGATTTAAATTATCCTTAGTCTTGGTGCATAAACATATATGATGGTCAACTTGGGAAGGTGAGAGTAATTCATAAATTTTAGTGTAAAAACTTGCTAAGGTTTCGATACTACAGTACTATAATTTTAGGGTGGGTAAAAATTGACTTCAAACTAGACAAGTCCACAGTTATAGTTAACCCCTGGAATTTAAACCCAAGGCTTCTTCTTTGTGCATTGCTAGTAATCTGATGAAGCCATATGTGCACATTTCACTCATTTCAAATCCATTTTCTATTACTTTTCTGCATACATGTGATTAATTCATCCCTATTGTAATACTACTTAATTGTTGTTTTAGCCATTAATATCCAGTTTTCTACCATGTTAAGAATTGCTATATTCAGTCAGAAAAAAATGTAATGCTTCATTCAGAAAAGGTTAAACATATTTAGACGAAGCCCTTTTATTTGGAAGAAGAAAATAAAAGAGTTGGACATGAACCCGCAATTTTTATGGCTTAATTTTCCTAATTGTGCCGTTAAATTAAATTCAAAAACCATGTCATTAGGCGAAGAAGAAACATATCTTTGGTCTTTGCTAAGTTTTTTTTAAAGAACGAATGGTAGAAGTTCTATCCGATATATTGAGAAGAAAATACTCCCTCCATCTACTTTTAATAGTCATATTTTTAAATCTGAAAATTTTATTTTTGATAGGCATATTTCAATCCAACAACCTATCATCTTAATGATTTTCTCGAATTTAATGCATGACTCTCCATTCTTCCACACATGATTAGCTACATGGGCTTTGAGAAATGTAAATATTAATGAATCGCTTGTTTACGAGGAATGACTAATAGCATGCTTAAATGAATGATAAGTAGAACTACTTATTCTTGGTCTGTGTGTCAAGATGAAATATGAGTATCAAAAGTAGATGGAGGGAGTAGTTTATTTTTTCTTTGCTAAGATATAAACTAGGCAGACAATTACTCAATTAGTATGATCAGAAATTGAGTAGAAATGTCATTGTAACGTGTGAGCTGGACTTATTTGCGACTAAACTTCCTCAAACGAAACGTAGCAACTCAGTCAAAAAAAAATCGAAACGTAGCAATCGGGGTAGTACGAAGCACTAGTACTAATGGAGGAATTGAATTGAGGGGAGAACAGTTTGATGCAACGGTAGGTCGTATGGAAATACTGCACGGTACTACGGCGCGTTTCTGGGGTCAGGATTTGGCTTGGGTAGGGGCACGTACCCGGCCGAGGCGGAGGGACTCGGCGGCGACGGCGAGCGGCACGGCGGAGAAGAGCGGGTACAGCTTCGTGCCCAGGAGCACCTCCTGCAGCTGCGCCGCCGGGCCCCCCAGCAGCCGCCGCAGCAGCGGCGACGCCTCAGACTTGATCTTCCGCCCCGTCATCGACGACGACGACGACGGTGTCCACGCCGCCGCCTCCTTCTTCTCCTCTTCCTCGGCAGCCACCGCCGCCGACGGTGCCTTGCTGACTTCAAGCAGGCCACTCTCCAGGAGATGGTGGTGGCTGCTCTCCGGCGGCGCCATGTCGCGCGACGCGAGGAATTGAATCGATCAAAAAACACACGCGTGTTGCGGTGAATGGAGGCGATCCAGCGTGGTGTTTGGGTAGAATGGAAACGGCGGAAAGCGTGGGTGTATTTATATAAGAAGGGGAAAAATAACCGGCAGTGCGCACAGTAATTAATTCTAGTATCACTAATTATGCTCATATTCCTTCCATCTTTTTGAGGAAAAAAAACTGAAGCAACTAATTAATATTATGTTTTTTTCTTAAGAAACCGTACTACCGTGTCTGTTTCATATTATAAGTTAATTTGACTTTAGTTTTTAATCAAATTTCTTTAAGTTTGATCAAGTTTATATAAAGAAATATAATACAATAATTTGAACTTAAAACAAACGTATTATGAAAATATATTACATTTTGGTTTTAGTGAAACTATTTAGTGTTAAAGAAACCATCCATATCTTGCTAATGCGACTTATTCCAGATGACTCATCTCTAACAATTCAAAAGGTAGTATTACGTTTAAGATATGACTACCAGGGATGACTCGTCACCGATATAAGGTCATCTTTGACAGATTGTAATTCTAACACATCACGGATAACCTATAACGGATCACAACCATGTCCCGTCATGGATAATATGTCATCCGTCATCCGTGACGGATGTAATGAGATGACCCGTCAAAGATGAGAGCACTCATCCATGACGGGTCTTAATTACTACCCTTCACACAGATAATGTTATCCGTGAAGGGTGATAGTTACGAACCGTCATGGATAACGAAAAATTCAATCTTTTGAAATTTTCAAATAATCTCACATTGAGACATATCCTATATGAAAGTTGTAGATCTCAATGAGATATGTAACTTCAAAACTGACAATATTTGAACTTGAGATAGTTTACATGTCCGAATATTTTATAAGTGGTGAGATCTATTTTGAAAAATGTGATTTTAATTTTTCAAATGATCTCGGATGGAGACATGGCCTATGTAAAAGTCAAAGTGTTTGATGAGATCTACAACTTTCTAATTGACAATATTTTCATGTAAGATTGTTTTCATCCCCGAATTTTGTTATAGGTGATGTGCTCTATTTCCAAAATATTTTTTGAATTTGTCAAATGACCTTTGGACCATGGATGGAGACATACCCTAAACTAAAGTTGTAGAGCTCGATGAGATCTGCAATTTTGTAGTTGAAAGCATTCTCATTTGAAATCATCTAGAGTTTCATATTTGAACATGAATAGTTAAAACAATAACATGTGATCACCTATATGGTCTATAGGTGAGCTGGTAAGATTGGTTTGTATGTGTTGAGAGATCTTAGTTTCAAATCCACATATGGCATGCATGCACATATCACTTGAAGAATCATAAACTTCTATCTAGTGACGTATGTGTGACCATGGTTTGAATATGCTAGTAATATTTAGAATTTAGAATATTTTTAGGGCTTCTTGATGCACTTAAAATTAAAAAAAATGGATGACTCTCATCCCATTGAAAATTTAAAAATGTGAATATCCTAATATTTAGAATATTTTTAGGGTTTTTTATGCATTTAAAATTAAAAAAAAAAGTATATTCTCATCCATGAAGGTTCATAACTAAAAATAGTGAGATTAGAGACTTCATTTTGCCGCTTTGTCTTCCATATCCGCGCATACCTTTGAAAGTCAATAGCATCATATTTTTTTCATTAAAAAAAAGCATTTTAGAAAGCTTTCCTTGTTTTGTAAAAACTCACAGCGTATACATGTCTTATCGTGTTTAATTACACCTATGGTACAACTTTGCAAGTCGGTGTGATATAGTGCGAGAACTTAAGAATTGAATGTCTAAGTGTAACAACTTAACAAGTGGGTGCGCTCTAGTACAAGAACTTAACAATTTAACAATTTAGTATTTTGGTATATCAACTTGACTAAGTATATGCTAGGTAAGTTATTTTTATGATGCCAATATGCCATTACATAGAAATCCTACGGATATTACCTTATAATATTAAATTTAATCTTGAAGAATTATACTGCACATAAAATTTACATCCAATTACCTTTAAGAATTTTTTGTTTTCTTTATCTTTTCAAATATCAACCGAAATATAATAATTTCTACATCCATTTTAATTGACTTTCAATTATTAGTTATTATGATAAAAATATAATTACTGCTTATACAAATCCACATTAGTATATTGTCAAAAGGTTGAATCTATATAAAAAGGGCTCCAAATAATTAAGTTGTCGCATAAATCATACCAACCTTGCAAGTTATTGTTATTGTATTTATACGATCACTTATAAAGTTTTTATACTAAATTGCACTTACCTGCCAAGTTATTGTATTAGAACGCACATTTCTCAAGTTCTTGCACCAAATTGTACCCACATACTAAGTTGATACACCTTGGGTGCAATTTACTCTAAAACGCTGGACACATCACGTTAAGAAGCGGTGAACAGGTCTTTTTTTATTATTATTCTAGTGAAGAGGTGTCTTTTGAATGTAAGTGGACATGAATTTGGTATTTACTACTTCCTCCATCTCATTTTAAGTACACTTATGGGTTTCTAGTCCAAAGTTTGACCGTCCGTCTTATTTAAAAAAAATAAAAATAAGTCACAAACATATATACCCCTAAATATCACAAATATATATAAACATTAACCCCTCCTCTCCCCTCCCAATCTCTCCCTGCACCTCCTCTCTCTTCGCATCTCCCTTCCCTAGCGGCGCTGCCTCTCCCCTCCCCGCTCCCCGGTGCCAGATTGAGGCGGCAATGGCGGATTGAGCAGCGGAGGTGGTGGATTGAGGCAGCGTCGCCGGATCGAGCAGCGGACGCGACAGATTGAACGGTGGTGGTAGCGGATCGAGGTGGCGGCGGCATCAGGATCGGGGCCATCTTCTTCTCCCCGACCTAGCTCCTCGCCATCTTCGCCATTGGCATCAGAGGTAGTTGGCCGCAAGGTCCCGGGGCTACGACACGGGACAACGCCTCTCCCCCAACGCAGTTTCTCGCCAGTTCCTCGCCAAAACCTGACGAAACTATTTGATGCTCTGCAAGGGGTCGTGGTACTATGTGAGGGAGCGGTCCCGGCCGAGCTGGCGCAAATATACCCCTAGGGAGGAGTAAAACCACGCTCCAGCGTGGAGCGTTGGCCATGGCCGTATTCGCACTTCGTGGGCACACCTCCAGTAACTAGCTGTCCATGACTCCATCTCCATGTTCAGCTGGCACGTGGCAGTGGCAAGGAAAAAGTACAATCTGACTCCCTTAAATATACGTCGAATCTAATTTGTATCCCTAATCCACGAAACCAGATATGACGACTCCTCCAACTATTAAAACCGTCTAAAACGACTCCCTCAGCTATTTTAAGAGTGGTTTTCGCTGACGTGGCATCCACGTGGCAGTCCACTCATCAGACAAATTAAAAATAAACATGGGGCCCACATGTAAGTCACAAGAGAAAAAAATAAAAATTGTGGGGCGGCGATCAGCAGCATGATGAGGGAGAGGGGCGGGTGGCGGAGTCCAGAGCATCGGCGGCAGTGGTGAAGAGGCAGTTGTCCCCCCTGGGGGCGGCGGAAACGGATTCCCCGGGCAACGGCAGTGCCGACGGAGGGCACCGGGCGGTGGAGGAGGAGGCGATGGGGTCCGGTGGCGTGGTGGGCGGCAGCGGCCCACCAGATCGGCATAGGGCCCTCCTGCGGCGGCGGCCAAGAAGAGGCTGGCCGGTGGTGGAGAGGCGGTCGGCGGGGAGGTCGTCGAGGTGAGCTCACGGAGGATGACCGGCGCACAGGCAAAGGACGGGCCCTGGTCGGCGACATCGTCCCCTCCGGTCTCCGGCGAGAGGGCGAGAGGCCATCCTCCTGGAGACGACGGGGACGAAAAAGCCCAGCGCCGACGCGAGCAGACGGCGCACTGCGTTGCCGAGGGGACGGCGCGTGGTGGGGCAGAGATGTTGGAGCCGGCGGCGGGGTGGTCGACGAGGAGGAGGACGACGAAGGAGATGGGCCCAGCGGCTGCAACCGACACCCTCGCCGCCATGCCCTTGTTGCCGCCCGCCGGATGCCGCCATTGCCAGCGCCGGGGCGGAAGAGGCCGAGAAGGCGAGAACCCCACCGCCTCGCCGTCCATGGCCGCCGAGAGGGAGAGGGTCTGACAAGCCTCTTCAATGCCACCACCGCCGCTACCTCACCCGGCCTTCGCGCCGCCTCCAGATCTCCTCACCCTGCCTCCGCACCGCCGCCAGGAGAGAGAGTGGGGAAGGTGCCGCCAGATGAGAAGGGGAGAAGGGAAGAAGAGTTGGAGAGAGAGGGGATGACATGTGGGTCCCACAATATATTTTGTGTGTTAATGACATATGGGTCCCACTGATATTTTTTTAATTCTAATGCCACATAAGTGCCACGTGGGACTAAGACTAGGTCAACACCACCACGTTAGCAAAACCACCCTCCAAAACCGCTGGGAGAGTCAAATTGTACTGGTTTCAATAAGCCGGGGAGTCATCCTATCCAATTTTCTGGTTGAGGGGTACGAATTAGGTTCGGCCTACTTTTTTAAGGGAGTCAAAGTGAACTTTTTCCCAGTGGCAATGATGAAATTGCAATAGTTGGGCCCGTAACCTTTTTATAGCTGGGCCTTTATAACTTTTTTAGGCCATTAGTAGGAAGGCCGTTCATGGTCCACCGATGCCGGAGCTTCCGTGGGAAAAGTCTATTTTATTTTCCTTAACTGCAGATCGAGTTTCTCACTTTCCTCAACCACAAAATCAGTTATAGAGCATCTTTTAAAACTCAAAACCAGTATAAATGAAATCCCTCAGCGTACTACCTTTTTGTCCAATATTATGTCTACATAGTGTGTTGACTTGATCTTCGTTCTTGGTTAACACCTACTTCCTCCGTTCTACAATGTAAGACTTCATAGCATTTCTTAAATTTATATAGATGTTAATAAATCTAGAGACAAATGCAAAGTATATATATTGATCATTGGATGAATCGGTGAGTCCAAAATGTCTTACAATATGAAACGTAGAGTACTTGTCATCATAATTGAGGGATGTGAAGTGGACTTTTTCTGCTTCAGTGTGCCCAATAACTTGGGCCTTTGAGTCCACGACGTTGAGAGATCGACATTTGTCAGTTGCAAGTAAGCAAGTTCGTCAAGCTGTTTAATGATGGAGGCATGAATTAAGCATAATAACATATGATATGACAACGGATCATTAGGCATGTGATGTCCGTAAGTGATTTATTCCTTTTGGTATTTGCTATT